GGAAATGAAGGGGTGGAATCACCAGCTTTTGAGACTGCACTTCAAATTCAAAACACTTCTTTGTCTGCCTCTTGCTATCTATTTGTAACATCACAAGAAGGAAGGCCCTGCACCAATATCTGTACTGAGATTTTTGTGTCCCAGAAAAAGGCTCTATAAAGTGACCAACAAGAAGGAGTTATGTGAGATGCTTTGGCACTACCTTCACCAGAGTCAGCTCTCCTTCAAATGGATGAGGAAGCAACAAAATAATATTGTGAGATCACCTAAAATCAAATGCAGTTTTTTACTCATTTATCATATTCCAAAAATTATTAGTAAGTGACATTCTCCTCCTCAGTGAAAGGCCACCAGACTGGACTCTTTGGTCATCTTCATCTCCTTCCAGTGATTGTTGTCCTGCCTTCTCCAGTGTTTGTCCAAAGCCTGTCACTTGGAATGATTTAAGAGGATATTCATGGGCCCTGCTTGTAGGGGGGAACTAAAAAGTCATGAGTTTTTTGTATTGGTTGTGAATGTCTTGTGTTGGGAAGAGAGAGCTGCAGTTCCTGAGGCTGGTGAGCCCAGCAAGGCCTGTGGGCCCTGACATGATCATCTCCTACAAAAACAGCCATCACTGGGTGCCACATTGCTAATATCAATTAGTTACCTGAAGAAAGAATTCCAGGATCATATAAATGATATTCCCTGCATGCAGAATCTGGCTGGGATGCTGCAGGAAGCAGATGAAGCCAGGGTGGATTGCTCCTGAGTTTTGGTGGTCAGTTGAAGTGCGTTATGACCAAGTCAGCATTTCTTTAATTAAAACCTGTGCTCTGTGAGCTCACACTTCTGGATGCTGGCTTAACACTTGTTCACCTATGTCTTTGGGCCTCAGCTTTGTGTGAAATGTCAGCCAGAAGGCTGAGGCTTATTCTTCATGGTGGAGCTCACTTTGGTAAAGCACTTTATCCACAGCCAGTAGACCCCTTCACTGTTACTGGATTGCAGCTGAGTTCAACCATTAACCCAGCCATGGTTTCACCATTAAACCATGTCCCCAAGTGACATTAGGGACAGTTATTGTTCAGAGGGACAGTTTAAATGTGATGTGGAAATAATCACTTTTTAACAGTTATGCCAATGTTATAATGGCCTCCTCCTTTGCTTGTAATTAAGAAAAAACATCATCTGAGTGATTAAACCTCCTCACCAGCAGCACCAAGGGAGCAGTGTGCAGTACAGACAGATGCACAGTTTGAACTGGAATGTTCAAATGCAGATATCACATTAATCTGGATTTGCTGCTCATCAGTTTGAGCCAAAGGCAGCTGGAACACTCAGCCTCTCTGGTAAGGAGGTCCATCTGCACAAGTTCTTGCACAGAGCTCTCCAGTGTTCTGACTGGTGTAAGACCAGCTGATCTGTGGCTGTGGATGAGATCAAATCCATGAGAGCAGTTAATTCCTGCTGCTGTCGTTGGATGCACAGGAAGTGTTATGGAAAGCCTGTCTTGAGGGGCTGTAGCCATGTCCATCTCCAAGGGGGCATCTGTCCTGCCATGGACAGGGCTGGGAGAGCCCACAGGACCTTGGGAATGAAGATTTGCTCATCACTCCCCAAACATTCACCTGCCAAGGGACAGAAGAGCAGCTCACAGCCCGGGGCACCCTGTTGGAAGGCTGCCATTCCCAGGGCATCCCAATCATGGGAGGCAGCTGAGACTGGGACCAGGACCCTCTTCGCCACGTGCAGGTGCTCTCAGAGGGTGTCCAGTAGCCTGGTCCTCTGGGTGTCATTTTGATCGCTTAATGTTTGACATAATTATGTTTTTTAAAAGAGAAATTACTCACTGCATAGAAGCTACTTCCTTCCCAGAAAGCTTTCTGCAGTCCTGAACAAATTGAGCCATACCATTGAGACATGTGCAAGTTTGGGAAAATTTATAAAGTTGTCCTTCCATCTCCCAGAGTTAAAGGGAGCTTTATAGCAGTTACTCTTGCATTTATAAAAGAAATCTGTGGTTAGCAATATCTGTTATTGAAATTGGGCTCTATGCTTGGATATGTTGAGTCTCTAGGTAGGTTTTCTTTTGTTTAAAATTAAACAGAACAAGCAGAATTTTGTTTTAATCTCCACACATAAGGGATGTTATGTTCATTAGCATCTGGAGAAGATGCTTGGGCTATTTTCCAAGTGGAAGGCATCCTGGATTAAACACACAGTATCAGTCTGTAAAGCCTCACTGGCCTTTTGCTGGAGAACACTCAGTAACCTTTCTGGCTTTGTGTGAGATTTGGGTAAGGAATACTGCAGCAGGCACTGCACCAAGCTGCCCTAAGCTGCTCCCCTCCATACAACCAGCAGGACACATGGATCATCCAGGACAGGGGCCAGGATGGCCGAGGGGAAGCCCCTGTGAGGGCTTCAGGAGAGGGGAGCACCCATTGTGCTTCCCCTCAGTGAACACTCGTCCCTGGCACCACTGGGCTTTGCCACCTGCCCCGTTTGCAGCTGCAGCTCTGCTGCCATGGCCCAGGGCCCAGCTGCTCCCTCGCACGCCAGCAAGGCTCCCCCAACAGCCCAGCCCTTGTTTCCCTGGCCTTGCTGTGGCTGCCAAGCCACCACCCTCCTCCAGCCTTTCCATGGACTGTTGGGTGGGATGGGCAGAACGCTGGCTCTGCCCCACTGAGGTCGTGCAGAATGTGTGTGGCAGCTCCTTTCAGCTGGGTACAATTCCCTTTTCTTGAGCCCTGTCCATGAATGTGCCTCTGTCTCGTGTGCCTCGCCAGCAGCTTCTGCACAGCCCGGCACTGGATGAATCTACTTGTTCAAAGCCTTATCACTGAGGCAATCTTTTCCTCCTATGGAAAGTGAGAATGAAATTGCCTAAATTAAGCAATTGAAGCAGCCTTGAAGGATAAAGCTTTCTTTCTGCTTGGAGTTGTTTTTGTAGCAAGACTGCCATGATTGTGTTTGTGTCCTGTGTTTACTGGCATAGGAAAGAATGTGGGATTGGGATTTTATGGCCCTTACAGTTTAATGTTTGTCCCATGAGCTATTCAAATGAATCATTCTTGGATTTTTAGCACCTTCTTCCCACTACAGTACAGGCCTGGGGACAGTCAGAACAGAGAGAGAATACTCCCTTGAGCATGGATTTAAAACTTGATGATCTTAGAGGGCAGACTCCTGTCGGCACTGATGTGTCACCATCTCAGCAGCTCCAAGATCCAGCCTCTTGGATGGTCTGTTGTCCCTTTGGGTTAGGAGGGAGCACAGCTGTGAAGGAGGAAAACATGTGAGTCATGATTGGAGGGCTGTGGGAGCTGCGGTTTTCCCTCCCTGCAGCTAAACCAGGCCCTCTTCTCATGAAAATCGTCTCAGTTTTATTGTGGGAGGACAAAAGTTTTTGAATGCAATGTTCCACCTGAGTTGGTCAGGTGGAACCCTCCATTCTTTCATTAAAACTGTGGTCAGAGGATGTTCTCTCAGCACTGAACAGCCTGACTCAAAACTAATACTGGTTTATGATGTGCTGTGACAAATGCTATAAATCCTGGAGGCAGCAGTGAAAGTAGGGTTGGGGTTTTACCTGGCTGATTTTTTTTTGTTGGATCATTGTATGAGCTTGGAAAGTCTGTGTGATGTCTTTGGGTCTCCACATATCTGCAGATGAAGAACAGTATCAAGAGAGTGGCACTGAGAGAGTGTTTATTGCCCCTCATTGTGTTTAACAAACCTTCCTGCAGTCATTGCAGCCAGGTGAAACTCTGAAAGGGCAAATGTTGACATTTGGGCTCTGAGAAGATCAAAAACCATGCAGTTTTCAAGCTGTTTTCAAGCTTCAAGGACAAAGCCCTGATGAAGTTAATTGTAGGTTTCTGTAGCACTTGTTTTTGTTAAAGTGCATGGAGGAGATACTTCAGGTATTACTGTGGTGTTAATCCTCCACGTTTCCCATAATTTCTCTAATCCCTGCATTGCCCTTGGCATTTATGCAAGGCTCCTGTAAAGCTTCTCTCTTGAGCAGTTTCATGAACAAGCCCAAAGAAGTGTTGCTTGACAAGCAAGGCTTGAGGACTTACTCCTGACTCTTCTCATCACAATTGTTTGCATGTATCAGTACCTTCTAAAGCAGCATAATTCCCTTTGAGAGAATCAACATTCTTGTTCTTCCCTCCTTTGTTCTCAGCGTGCACAACAGGACTTCAGCTCCTCAGGCTGCAGGAGATAATCTTGGAGAGGGGATTACTAAGGAAAACATAGCTTTTGTGGCTTTGTTTTCCTACAAGATAGTAATCCTGATGCTCTGATAGTGAAGATACAGCACTTCAGTCGCTGAAGTGTTTGGGGATGCTTTTTTCACTCAGGTTTGCCAAGCAGCCACTCTGCTTCACTCTGTTCTGAGGCCAAGGTGTCCCCAGGCCATCACACTGTTCTCAGGAAGAGCTCCCATCTGGCAGAAGTGGCCTTGCACAATAACCAGATATTCCAGAGCTCTGGTTGAATATTCCTGAAATATTTAGGGAAATCAGAATTATCTTGTCAGGAGTTTTTGTTCTTAAATGGTACAGGTATGGTGCTTTCTTTGTTGAGGTCTGTTTTGTTGTATATCCATGAAAAACCATCTTGATCATCAGTTTTTTAACAAAACAAAGGAACTGAAACATTATTGGGGAATGTTAATTCAGGATTTAGCAATTTATCCAATAAGCTGCCTGCCATTATTGTAAACTAAAGAGAAAGAATTCCCAGCTGTTGGCCCTGCCACATGCTGTCAGTCTCCCTGTGTGCCACCTTACATTGCTCACAGGTGTGAAGGTAAGGAATGAGCTTTCCTATGTTAACGCATTTCTAAATCTTAGTGAACACCCAAGGCCTCCAGGCATCCGGGCTTAGTAAATTATTTTAAAATATTACTGCTAGATGCATGTGGAGTGGGAAATGGCTCAGAAAATGATGGTTATTTGTAAAGATTATTTCTGGGTAAATAGTTTATGTTACTTTTTGTTTTCTCCAGACTTTCTCAAACAGACCACATATGAAGTGGAGGCTTTCTTAGAGGCCATTCAGTTCTTCCGTCAGGAGAAGGGCCACTATGGCACATGGGAAATGATAACTGGCAACGAAAAAGAGGTAAAAGAATATATTCCTGATGGGGTTTTTGGTTTTGGGTATGGCAGCTCTGAGGGTAGTGAAGATTATAAATTCTTTTGGCTAAAACAGCATCTTAAAAAAAGAAAATTTAGTAGACAGAAATACTTGAGATTTTAAGACATCTCTTACTCATATGTAAGTGATAATTCTTTTTAAATAAAAACTTCTGAAACAGAGTCTTGTAGAGTAACAGTTACACTTAAACACCAAAAATCTGTGTACTTCAGTTCTGCAGAGAAGAAATGCTAAGCCCAGGGTCTGGGTCCATACTTGGGCACCTGGCTTTGGAGCACTCATGGAGCTGAGATTGCCCCACAACCCCACTGGCATTACTCCACATGACTTCTAGGGCATTATTTACACCCTGATTTATACTTTTTTTCCAAACACTGAGCACTCAGCAACAAATGTTTACGTGTTTACTTTAGTGCCAACTGCCAGCTGTTTTCCTTGATGAAATCTGTCTTACTTTGGGAAAACGGAAAAAACCTTAAGGAGAGTGATTTGTTTTAAGGAACCAGATTATTGTTTTAGAAGAAGCCTACCTTTGAAATTCTGAGAAATGTGGAATCTGGAGAAAAATCTATAAACAGTGTCTTTCCCATTGCCATCATGTCAGTGATTGAAGTTCTCTGCTAACATCTGATAATAAATGCTTACTTTAAGGAGTTACATGAGGGTTTTTCTATTCTCCCCTCCTCCTTCATATTATGGAGCTATTATAGTGCTAGTTCATTTTATGTTTTATTTTTCCTATTGCTTGCCAACATCTTACTCATAACCCATATGTCTCAAGAGAGTTGTAATCAGAAGACATCCAACCTAGTTCTACTATTATCTTCTTAGCAATAATTTATTCTGTAACTATAGTGTGTTCTCATGGCCTGCTTGGACCAAACATAATAATTATTTTAGGCAAATATCCAAGCTAAGTGAGTGGTTTGGAGCGAGTAGGCTGAAATTTGTTGCTGTGAAAGTCCTTGCAGAATGTGAAGAAATGTATTTGCTGACACTCATTTGTGATGGCTGACTCTCTGCAGTGTCAGCTCACACTGGGACTGCAGCATGGCTGGAGTGGGAGCACGAGCCAGGGCACCTGAGGGAAGATCCACCAATGCCTTAAAAATGTTCCCAGAGAACTCAAGATTCTTCACAATATAATGTTGTGGAATCACAGAATATCCTGAACTGAAAGGGACTCACAGGGACCATCCAGTCCAGCTCCTGGCCTTGCACAAAAACCCCAGCAATCCCACCCTCTGCATCCCTGGGAGCGTTGTCCAAAAGTTCCTGGAGCTCTGGCAGCCTCGGGGCTGTGTTCATTCCCTGGGGAGCCTGGGCAGTGCCAGCACCCTCTGGGGAAGAACCTTTCCTTGACAGCCAGCCTAACCCTCCCCTGACACAGCTTCATGCCTTTCCCTTGGCTTTTAAATCTATCTCATCTGTTGTCACATTTATTATTTATGATTGTTTGGGTTATTCACGAGATCTTTTTCAAGGGAGCCATTAGGACCTGAATTAGTGAATTGCTTTTGCAGACATTTGAGTCAGCAGTGCTGAAGTGCTGCTGTGGCATTATCTATAAGTACTTAAATGAAACTACAATAAAAGTGTATTGCATATTTGAGGTATATTCGAGGTATATTACAGTAGGTATTGAGAGTTGTATTTCCATAGGGGCTGTTTATGCCCTGTTTTACACTGGGCTGCAGTCATAATCCTTTAGTTGTGCTGCTCTAGTTCCTGCCTTTTCCTTCTGCTGGTGTTGGTGCATGCCTCAAATCTTTCTGGCAGCTTTAATACATGAGGTGCAGTGTCTGGGAGCATGGACATGAATGAAAAAGTCCTGGCATGATGAAAATGGAAAGTTGAGGGGTATTTTTGCACTCTGTATTAGCTCAGCTAGAAGGTGGGTAGAGCAGGGATGTGATCCTGAATGTGGACTGTGCTGGGCTGTTGGTGGAGCTTTCTCAGGCCAGAGACAGTGTCCATAAACAAAAACATGGGAGACTCCCAAAATCAGATGTATATTAAGTCTTGCATATTTATTTGGTACATTTGAGTGGGACAGGTAAGGAAGGAGTTGCAGTTCAAATCTAGGCAGAGAGACTGCAGAGCCTCTGTGGGTAATTCCTGGCAGCTGGAAGGGAGGGACAGCTGAGCCACTGCCTGCACACATCGCTCTGTGCTGCAGTGCTCAGCCTTCAGCTCAAGAACAGGGTGTGAACTTGCCATTTTCATCTCCTGACCCTACAGATCCTGAGCAACCTGGTGATGGAGGAGCTGCTGCCTAACCTCCAGACAATGATCCTGCCTAAAATGAAGGGAAAGAGGAATGATAGGAAACGGGCTTGGTTTGGGGTAAGGACTGACCCTTGCAGAGAAGCTGTTGCTCATAGCAGCTCTCTGTGGGTGCTGGTTCTGATCTCCGCTTCTCAATCTGATTTGTGTCCAGATTGTAGAGGAAACCTATGGCTTAGTCCAGCAGGAGGTGGCAGAAGGATTAAATACCTTGAAAGAAGAATGTAGAGAATTTGTAAAAACTCTTGAAGGGACCATTCGTTCAGACATGGATCAGATTCTGAGCTCCAAGAACTTCCTAGCTGGAAAAATCAAAGGTTAGTGGAGGAACAGCTGTGCTTTGGAGCAATTCTCCAATGTTTCCCGTTGTGTTGCTCAAATTACCAGATGTGCTTGATTGAAATCCTTGTTGTGTTTTGAGAAATCAAACTGGAGACACCAATTTTCAGAACAGAAATGAGCCTCTGCTGCCTTTGATGGGAAAAGATACCTGTGGCCATTGTGTCTGCGAAAATACCAGGCCTTCTCAAATTGGAGCTGACAGGTTTTGAGTATCCTGATCAGAATTGTTCCTTCCGCTTTCATTTTCAATTATACAGTCTTAGTGAAGATACAGGTCACATGAGCATAATGAAAAGACCTGTTCTCTAGGAATGTACCACAAAACCAGGTTCTGGTTATGTGACAAGTCTACGGGCTTTCAAAGAATATTGAAGCCAAAGGGCTTCTTAAGTGGCTTTTATTTAATGTAAAGTAATCATAATTTTGTTATGAATATAAAAAGGAATGTAAAGAACAGGCAAAATGTTGGTGTTGCTTAAGCTGGCAAATAAATAAATAAATCAATAGCTGGTAATCATACCAAGACCTGCCCTTTCCTCTCCCTCACAGTCCCCTAGTTGCCAGTGTTTGCTTAGGTGAAGCTTGAGACAAGAGTTTTCAGTGTCACTCATAAAGCTGTGAACTCCTTTCACACCCTCATCACCTCTGTGGTGGTGTGACTCCAGGGAAAAATGCAAAACCATTAAATTCATTGTAAAGCAATAATTTCCAATTACTTCTTTCAATGTCTCTAAATGCAACTGTTGTCCTGTGTGACCCTCCAGCCAGTGTTTCTGAGCCTGCCCAGAAGTGCTGCACAGAGAATATCCAGCCATTCCTCGCCTCCATCCTGGAGGAGCTCATGGGCCCCGTCAGTTCCGGATTCACGGAAGTGCGCGCGCTTTTTGATAAGGAAGTGAATGAAATCATCCAGGACTTCCAGAAGACCAATGACATGACCAGGCTAAAGGAGGTAAGACAAGGAGCCTTTGCATCAGCACAAGGTTGTTCTTGACTAGACCCTGGCTGGCAGCAGGATTTGCTTTCCCAGGTGGAAGCACGTGAGCACCTGGTTTTGTCATTTACAAAGTCTTGTGGTATTTGTACAAATGGTGTGCAGATACCAGAATTTGGGTTAAAGCCAAATTGTTACATTCTCTATTAAAAATTCACCTCTGGTTACTTTCTCTCAACCTGCATGGGAATGCAGAATGTGGACCAGCTCATGACCCTGCCCTTCAACTCGGTGAAAATGGAGCCCTGCTATCTGAAGGTGAACCTGCTGCAGGAGCTCCTGCAGGACCTCAAGAGTCGCTTCAAGGTCTATCACATCGATTTTGTGATTCAGAGGACACAGAACTTCATGCAAGAGGTACTGTAAGATCCAGTTTTTCCTCCTGGGAGAACAGGTTAGGTTTGTCCTGCTAATCTGCTTCAAAGTAATCTTGATAAAAGCTGTGAAAGAGCCCCAGAGTGTCTCTCAAGCAAGGTACAGGTAACAAAACCTGAGAAAACCAGCTAGAAGCTGCTTGAAACTTTTATTTGCAAGACTCTGTGTGTGTGTGTCATTCAGCAAGGCATGAAAATTTTGGATGGATCATCTGTTCCCCTGAACTTTCAGGTTCTGAATTCCCAGTGTCTCACCACCCAAGAAAGTTGTGTGTATAATTAGTGGGATGGCTAAAATTCACCTGATTCCTTTTCTCAAGGCTCGATTTTTCAAGAAGGGTGTTAAATGTGTTTTACCAAACTGGAATGTCTTCTCCTTGGTAGTTGATTTTCTCACTAATATAAAGTAAAGCAATTAATGTTAGAAACTTGGAGACAGACAACATTTCAGGGTGTAGGTGCTTTATCCAGCCTCACCTTTCAGGGCAGTGGTGGAGGTGACAGTATCTTTCCAGATGAAAACTGAGCTCAACCTCTTTGTCCCCTCTTGTGTGTGTTGGTACAGGCTATTACTCTGCTTTGCCTGGACTCCTCCTGGATGCCTGGCCAGAAGTCTCTGAGGAGCTGGCCAGCAGACTGATTCCAGTTGCCAGATCACAAGGCAGATTTGGCTTTGGAGCTCTAAATTGAACCCTGTGATTTTAATCTGTATTTGGGAAATGTACTAATCTGCTCAGTAATCTTGTGAAATGGAGCTGGTCCAGATCTATGGAGTGGAAGTTATGAATATGGAAAACAAGTGTCTAGGACAGGGCTAGAATAGGGTTTTCCTAAAAGCAGCTCTTCTGAGTACAGCCAGGACCAGCAGCCAAGGAATTACTCAGAAATAAAATTCTGATTTCATGTCTGGGTCTTTCAGGGGGGACCATTCCAAAATGCTGTCAAATAAAGTGTATTTCACTGAGTGAAGACCATGAGTCAAGACAAAGAAGTAGACAGAAAATAAATTCCATATCAACCAAGAGGTCGTTTTTTTCTGAACAGAACATGAGTCAAAATTAACAAGAAATAAATTATAGCAGGAGTTCTAAACATGCTATTGTTGCATCTTCCTCTTTAAGAGACTTGTATTTTCCTCATAAAAATATTGTAGTTTCCCTGTTTTTCCATGGACGTTGTTTATTTCATAAATAAGTGAAATCAGACACGTGTGTTGGTGTAGTATTTGGCTAAAATGTACCTCGGGTGGAGCAGGATTCCTTGCTTTGGGAGCTTGGCATCCTCTAGTGGCCAATTCAGGCAATCTGGGAGCACGGTGCTCAACTGGCTGAAGGAATGCCCCCCCTGCTTATTTCCCTGTACTTTTCCAATAAGAAAATGTTACTATTTGAATGGGAACACCTAAAGAAAATGCAAAGCCTGATTAGATAGACTCAATTACCGCTTGCAGAACTGTTTGTCTGAAATATCTTCAGAGTAGGGGCATAATATTCTTAATGATAAGCTGAAAATATTGTAAATGCCAGTTTAGCATAATTCTGAGAGAAATTATTGCACTCTGTGTGATTTTTGCTGATTATTTATTTGTATTATAATGAAAATGATGTGCAGTATGATTAAATATTTTTTATTAATGATAGAAGTCAATGGGAGTCTTCCCATTAGGGATAATGAGTTTTGACTATGGTCTGTATACATGGATAATCAATTCAACATTTTGGCTCTGCCACTATCAGTTTTGGTGATGACATGAGATCAAATCTGTACAAGAAAGCTGGGACAGCATGATAATGATACCACAGCTTTAATTTAATTTATTTATTGCAGCATTTCAGTGCTCTTCAGAGCACCTTCTCAGAAATACAATTTAAATTAACAGTTGCACTTAACATGTTTGCAGGAATTTGATGTTACTGATCTTTAACAGATCTTTTTCTACTTACTATTTTTAGCTGATGGAAAATGCAGTTTATACTTTTGAGCAGTTGTTCTCTCCAAGCCACCAGGCAGACTCAGCCAAAGTTGCAACAACCATTGAAAAAGTCAAGCTGAGAGTGCTGAAGGTAAATGTCATGTAGCACATTTGCAGGCTGCCTTTCTGGAAGCAGAGAATATATTTTATATTAATGTACCTCAATATTTGAAAGAGGATAAGCTTTTACCATCCAGCTGAAAATACTGATTTAGTGGCACTTAGCAAAACTGCCCGTTTGGGGGATAAAACCTAGTTCTGGGCAGACACTTATAAAAGTATTTGCATGTGCAGTCCCTTAAATTGTAGGTAAATCAGATTATTAATATGCTGTGGATCTGCATAAATAATTTTAAATTAACTTTGTAATTAGCCTGCACTAGGATTTGTTACTCTCTGAAAATGCAGTGCTGAAACGCCTGGGGAGGGCAGCTGGGGGATGTTTCTAGCCTAAAAGAAGCAAAAGAGATCCCAGAACAGTAGATTTTAGAGTGATTTTGTAGAAGCTGGACTAACCTGTGTGGCCATTCCAACCCCTGTGTGCCCTGATGCGGCAGCTACAGGCTGACAGGAGCAGTTCCTTGTGGGAGTGGTGAATAACCCCAGGCACGCATGGGCTTGTTTCTTTCTGTGTGTTTTGGCAGCAATATGACTACGACAGCAGCACCATCCGCAAGATGATATTCCAAGAGGCACTGGTGCAGATTACCTTGCCCACAATGCAGAAGACACTGGCTTCAACATGCAAACCAGTAGGTATCTGTGACTAAAAACCTCAAAAAACAAAAATGGAAGGCAGGGGAGGAACAGCACCTTGGTAGTAATTCCTTAACACTGTCAGGCTGTTTGCAGATCTCCTGCGTGCTCAGTGCTTAGATTTGCCACGTCATGGGTTGGGTAGGTGTGCAGCACAGGGACGAGCATTTTATCACCTAGAATATGTGTGCAGGTACCTCATGTCTCTGTCACAGAGGAAGCAGTGATGGAGCAAACTTCCACAACCCTTTCTATTTAGTTTCCCACCAGCCTTTTGTATTTGTGCCTCTGCAGAAATGAGCAGCCAGCTCTAGAAGCCAAAGTGTGGTACAGCTGACAGGACCTGCCAAGTCCTGACCTTTTACTTGAAAACCTCCAGGTGATTTATGTAGGTGCCTCTTCTAGAAGTGGTCAGAGGTCACTTAATTTACTTTTTATAGACCACCAAGCAGCTGCTTGATGATAGTGATTCAGTTAGACAGCCTGATGGGTATAAATCAGTGAGCTCAAAGTGTTACACACCTATTAGAAAAACAAAACCAACCCCGCGTCTCCTGTGCACCGTGGATTTGCCTTCTTGGACAAACAGGTTGTGAGGCATTTCCTCAGCAGCTGTTTGTTTCAGCAGGCAGTGATATGTAGTGCTTTTAACTGTGGTTGTACTGCAGGTAAGTAATTATGTTTGGTAGGTACATAATTGATTGTGGACACACGTAGCTCATGGAGTCATAGTTCAAACAGTGCACCCCAGGAGCTGTCACGGGGTGTTGCAAGACCTGCTCCATGGCATCTCTGAGCTATTTGGTTGCAGTAGGACTCAGAATCCCTCAGTTTTCTCCATCTGTTCCTTTCTCCCCTACCTGCACAGGAGCTGCAGAGATACGAGCAGTACATTTTTGCTGATTACACAAGTGTGATCCAAGTAGAGAACGTGTATGAAGAGATTTTACATCAGACACTGCTTGAAGAGGCCCTAAAAGGTGAGAACATTTCTGAGGTGACAGGAATAACATTGCAGCCTGTGGCCCATGAGCTGCTCCTTCAGAGCTTCCCAGAGCCTCACCTGGCTGTTCCTGTCCTGCTTTCTCCAGCACTGGTGGTTACGTCCCTACAGTGTTTTTTCATTTGGCTCGCTTGAAAATGTGTTGCAAGCCCTAAAATCTGAGTTATGGGGCAGCTTTACTAAATCCGTGGAAGTTAAGAGTGATGGCTTGGCACAAGCCTTTTTCTAACAAAATGTAATTATGGCAACTTCATTTGATCTCAGTTCCCTGGGCCAAGGAGGGAAATTCTATCCTTACTTGTACAGGTTTGGTGATGACTAAATGAAAACACTATGCCAATTGCAAGACTAAGAGAATTTCAAAGACTAATGGTAATAGAGATTAATTTTCTCAAATGAAAATAATTGCTGGATGCAGTTTCCAGTACTCACTGATGCCAGTGCAGTACTCCTTGCAGATCTTTCTGCTTCTGTGTCAGAAAATGAGACTATTCTTAATAAATACTACATATATATGTATATCTATTAATACTTTACTTGTATCTCTCTATATGTGCTTGTCTGTCTCTGCCCTGGATAAAAGACAAGCAAATGTACTACACAGGATGTTTTCACAGACCATAGGCACTCCTCTTCCAAAACAGCAGTATAATAATTGTAACCAGCATACTTTTATTGGCATATTCAATGTAAATCCTTCTGCACTGAAGCATTACCCTTGTGCATTGTGGGTCCTCTGCTTCAGAAGTGCTTGGGTCAATACTAAAGTGATGTTATTCAAAAAATAAAATCTCCATCTCCCAAAAAGAAATGTGAACTAAAAGGAAGCTGAAAATTAACATTAGTGTTGACTTTAATATCAAAATGTACAACATAAACTTGGGATAGCACTGTATGTTCTTCCCTGTGCCTCTGTCAGCCTTCCCAAAGCAGTTTGGTGTTTGTGTTTTATTCAGTGATCAACGAAGCTGCCATTCTGAGGAAGCACAACCTGTTTGAGGATAACCTGAACGTGCCCTGCGAGAGCGTGTCCAGCCTGACAGAGCTGAGGACTCCCGTGGGGTCAGCACAGGGCACCCCCGCCAAGGCGCCCGCAGCCCCCCGGGCCGAGGGGTCGGACACCGAGAGCCACGGGGACGAAACGCTCGTTGTGACAGGGAAAATCGTGTGGGAGAAGGATGCTGATGAGGGAAAGTCACCAGACAAAGAGGCAGGCACCTCTGTTAGTGCAGCTGGTGATCAGGCCAGCAGGAGGGAAGCAGTGGCTGTTACAGACGTTGGTGACAAACAGGAGTGCCCTTCGGCTGACCACATTAAACAGGGAGTTGCAGAGGGAAAAGGTGCCATGGAGAATGTATCAGAGTGTGTAGTGAGCACTGAGAGAGGACTCAAGGCACAACAAACAGCTCTGGAGGAAAAAGTAGCTTCTGGGACTGACACTGCAGTAAAAAATTTTGAAGCCGGCCCTAAAAAAGAACTGAAGGTACCTGAAGGAGCAGTGGAGGAAGAGGTGACTTCAGTGAGTCAAACAGTAACGGCTGCTGTGTCTGTCAGCAGCACTGAGAAAGCAAGCACAGCACAGGAAAAAGTTTCTGAGATAAAGCTCACTTTCTCACCTAAGAGCGTAACAGATGCAGAGATTTTAGGGAGTGTAGAAAAGGAAAGCAAGGTAGAAAATGAAATTATGGGAACATTATCTCAGAGTGAAAATGCAGTAGGAACAGGGTTGGAAGGGAATAGTAAAAAAGAAAGTGGTGAGAATACTGAGACAAAGATTGTTTCCCAGGATGAAAAGACAGGGAAAGCAGGGTTTGGGGTTAGTCCTAAAAAAGAAAGCCAGTCAGAAGAAAAGAGTAGTAAATCCCCCGATGATGTGAATGAGATAAGGAGTTTGCTGATGCTGACAGTTGAGATCCCAGCGGATACTCCAGCTGAGAACATAAAGGAGGTCTGTGAGGGTGAGCTGCTGAAGTTGCCGGAGCACCATAATGGGAGCTACGAGTTGAGCGAAGTGGCTGTGGCAGAAATTCAGGTGAGCCAGAAGATGAAGAGTGAAGATGCAGCAGAATGTGTGGAGTTCAAGGAGGAGCGACCATCCTCAGCCAGCCTGGGGACAGATGGTACGAGGGGAGAGAGCGTGCCCAAGGGGGCACAAGCTCCGTGGCTGGTGGAGGGCTGGGCTCCGCCTCGGGAGGCAAAGGCAGAGGTGGAGAGCAAACCAAGTGTGTGGTACGCAGGTGCGGAAGGCGAGAGGTTGCAGCCGGAGGAGCACACGGGAATTGCGGTGGATGGGAAGGAAGGAACAGGGGACAGCCACGCTGTCCTGGAGGACAGTGGGACACAGAGCTCCTTTCCGAGCCCTGCTGCAGATGCAGGCACGAGGGACGTGCCCATCCTGGATAGAGCAAACCCGGGCCCCGGACTGCTGGAGCCGGTGTCCCTGCAGCCGCGCCGGGGGCAGCCCGGGACAGAGCGCACGGCAGACACGGAGCCCGGGCGGCGAGAGGGGGAGCCGGGAGATCAGCCCTCAGGAATTCACGGCACCGGAGGAAAAGCGATCCTCCCAGAAGAACACCGAGGAGATGGTCCTGCACAGCAGAACTCTGAGGAGTAGAAAGCAGCTTTCAGCCCAGCCCTGCGGGACCTGTTCACTCCAGTAATCCCTGTTCAGTTTTGAATACTTGTTGAGGTCGGGGCTGGAGGAAATGCGCTTTGTTGTGGTGTCCCCAGCTCCTGCAGGTTTCCCACGAATCCCTTCCCGAGGGATGGGTGATGGGTTTCGTTTCGGTTAAAACCAGATTACTGCTGAGGAATCTCAGCTGCCACTTCAAATCTGCTCCCTTTTAAAGCTAGAGAAAAAGTCTGGAAATGTGACCACTGAGTGCTTCAAACGCCCGACTATCATCAACTTATTTTAACAACTTAGCTGTTCTTAGTGATCCTCTTGATTTTTAAATGCATGGTTTTGACAAGTACCGCTCTGATTCTGGTGATTGGTACATACATACTCGAGGATGCTTTTAGTATTTGCATGCAGTATACAGGAAACAAAAACTTTTTTTTGTAGTAAAACTTTTTCTGTAGTAAACAGAACCAAATAGTTGATTTAGTAGATTGCTGAAAAGCCACGTGGTGCAAACTCTGCATACCGATTACTTAATTATTTTCAAGTTTTGGCAGATATCAAAGAAAAGCAAATAATTCTGATTTTTTTTTTTCTCTTATTGCTGTATTTAAAAAGGGGAAGGTATGGGAGCAGGTTTCTCAGTCCCACTCTGCACTTCGGGGTTATTTAGCCTTCCAGAGCACTTTATGGCTATTGTTTTGTTTTGTTTTGTTTTATGGAAGGGAGAGAATGTTTACAATAACTATAGCTGTTAGGCAGCATTTCTCTGGTTTAAATCCCACCATAAAATAGATGCACTTACAGCAATTTCATACAGAATCTTGAGACCTGCCATTCCCACTGAGTTACTCAGGTCTGTAGACCTTTTTAGGTATGGAAATCATGTAATAAGTGGCAACAATTGTGAAATACCAGAATCATTGCATCTAATTTCTAATGCAGATGTTAACTGGACTGACAGGCAGCCAGAGGTTGTTTTGCATGTGCTTAGATTTTGGAGGGCAGAATTACATTACAAAAGCAGTTATTAAAATGAGGCAGTTGCTGTCATGCACACGATCTGTATCAAGCCATAATCTTGGTGCAGAGTTGCTTAAATGTGTCCTTTGCATCTCATTTTGCACAGAAAAGCTTGGAGATGAAACCCAGCATTTTAGTAAATTGGCCTTTCAAATGCAAGACCTCACTTTAGAGGTCAGTTTAAGGCACCTTGAAATTCTGGCCTGGTGTTTTGAGCCTGTTTCTGAATGTTATACAGTGCAGGATAGCAAAGATTAACTATAATTGCAGCAAGGACTGCAGGATCTATGCCCATAAAGACACAGGAAGAAATAACAAAGCATAATATGTGTTAGCATTTAACTTCAGCAAACTGTGCAAAGTCTTTTAATGCTGTCAAAATATTCTTTAATACTAACAGAAAATTGACACTAGAGGAACAGCTAAATAGTACTGTGTGAGGAAGGAACTTTGTTGAGTAACTGGATTAACTATTCTGTCACTGCAGTAAAATAAATGCAGTTCCGATTTATTCTAGAAGCCATACTGTGGTATGGAAACATGAAGGTCACAGACATTTTCCTTGCAGAAGTAGTTTGACTCATTTCCTCCTTGTATTTCATGCAAAAATACTAATTTGGAAACATAGAAACCACTGCCAGCCAATTTTTTTTTTTTACAAATCATTGGTTATTTCACTGTCAGCTGCTTCACTTTTACAAATCATTAACTATTTTTAATTGGTACTGAGTGTTAAATGACTTCAAATTTATAAAGTGCTCTAGAGTTAAGCAGCAAGCAGCCTTTTTAAGCTAAAATTAGGGGACATGATGGGGTTTTAGTACTTTTTTTTTGCATGGCAGCAAAAAGGACTGCAGCCTCCTGCAAAAGGAAACTAATTCATTCTGATGTGAATTAGATACATCTGTACAGAGAGCATTTTGCATAAGTATTTCCATAATGGTAATTTTGGAGTTATTTCTGTGGCAGGCCTAGATCTGGGTAATATTTTCCTGTGATGTGTGTTGCATGGCTGGATGCAGATGCTCAGATGTTTTTCACCAGTGAGATGGGTAAGGATGAAGAAGATTCAGCCTGTATAATTTAAATTGCAGTTCCTGGTGGCCATGGGACTTTTTTCTCGGTTTTGGGCATTTTCTGCCCTTTTGCCAATGGATATAGTGCTTTTCTAATTGTTGGTTAGAAGCGACAGCTTAGTTATAAGAGGTCAGCAATCTACAAGGTTATGTGGGACCACTGATGAGAAATTATAATAATGCACCCATTCTGTCGTTTCTGTTGCTTTCTTGCCGTTTCCTCCACAAACCGTGAACTGTAATAAATCTCCTCTGGTGGAGCCGGGCGCCCTGAGGGGAGCGGGCTGGGGTGTGGAATTCCATGGGGTTTCCACTGTGAAGGGCCAGGACATGAAACACATTGTATTTGCTTGGAACTTTGTACAAACGCTTGTCATGGAAATAAAGACGCTCTTCCCTTCCATTGCCGGGAGGCTGCTTTTGTGAGGGTGCGATGGTTTGGGGGGGTTTATTAAAGAAGCGTACATCGGGCAGCTGGGAGTGCCGGCGGTGTTTCCAGCACGGACAGGGGAATGTTTAGGGCAGCGCGGCAGCGTGACGGGGAACGGCTCCAAACCGAGCGTTAGACTGGGTATTCAGGAGGAAGTTCTTCGCCGTGAGGGTGGTGAGGCGCTGCCACAGGGGGCCCGGAGAAGCCGTGGCTGCCCCATCGCTGGCAGTGTGCGAGGCCAGGCGGGGCAGGGCTCTGTGGTCACGGCCCTGCCCGCGATGAGCCGCCCGAGCCACGCCGGCACATTCTGGCACGCTCCGCGCTCGTGGGGCAGCGCCTCAGGGAGCGCGGGGCACGCCGGGAGCCGTGTGCGCGCGGGGCACGCCGGGAGCCGTAGTTCCCCGCCCTTTGTCCACGTCGACCCTCCCGTCGCGCGTTGCCTGCCGGCTCACGTGACCCCCGCGCCGCGCTCCCCCATTGGCCCGGCGGCGCGCGGGCGGGGGGGCGGTGCCGGAAGCGGCGGCGGCGCGAGGCCGTTTCCCTGGCTACGCCCCCGCGGGCGCGCGCGGAGGGGCCGGGCCGGGCCCTTCCTGCCCCGGGAGCGGCGATGGCCCCGCGGCGGGACTAGCGGGCAGCGGCCGGCCGCCATGGCCCTCAGCGCAGCTCCGGGCTGCCGCGCCGGGGAGCGGGGGCCCCGCTGCAGGAGGCCCTGGAAGCTCCTGGCCCTCGGCCTGCTCTCCGCCTCCTCCGTGCTGGCGGCCGCCCCGGGCGCCGGGGCCATGAGCAGGGAGGAGAAGCGGCGGCTGGGGTGAGCGCAGGGACGGCGGGCCGGGCCGTGCTGGGCGGGGCGGGGGCTGCGCGCTGCCCCCGGGTCGGGGTGCGCTGGGCGGCCGCAGGCGCGGAGCTCCGGCGCGGCGTCCCCTGTCCGCCGTGCCCTGCCCCGGGCGCTGCCGGGGACGCGTGGCACCGGGGCCCCGCCGTGCCGGGGCTGCGTGTGCCGCACCCCGGCGGGTTCCGGGCTGCTGCGGACACGCGGCCCCTTCTCCCGTGTGGGGGCAAGCCATGTGCTGCGTGCACTCGTAGCTCGCCTCGGAGGTTTCAGGCAGGGCTTGCGCGGAGCTGGGGGTGAAAGTGAGCAAAGGTGAGTGTAAATCCCCACTCGGTCGGTGGAATTATGGCCGTGCCTCTGTGAGAGTGCGGGAGTCATAAAAAAGGTGAATGTTTACGTGTGTCCTGCCTAATTCCTGTATGCGACCTAAACTGCTTCGGTCCCCCGTGCGTGTAAGAGGCTGATTCTTTTATTGTAATTTTTAGTTGAAGAGTAAATATTGCAGCGTATGTGGAAATATATTTTCCTGCATGGAATGGGACTTTTTAAAAAACAAATTTGCAATCCAGGGGTATTTTGTGTTAGTAATATGTTTCTGGGGGCAGTTTCATCGTCCTCTTCCCATCCAGTGATCAGTTGTACAGAACAATAATGCAAAAAGTTTGCTGGAGAAGCATTGTGGAGACTCTCACATTTGTTAATCATGGAGTTGTTAAGGTTGGAAAAGGCCTCCAAGTCCAGCTGTTGTGTATAAGTTGATATTTAACTCCCGGTGTTTACAGTTACTGGCGTTTTCCATCGTGGGTTCTCAGGATAGTTTGTGTGTGCGGTCTTTGATATGTTTTCTTCATAAAGCTACACAAGCAGTTGAAATTTCATTCCCCAATTTGTTTTAAAATTTTTGGATTGCACTTCAAATATCATCTGATGCCCCAGGCATGTGCAGGCCATGTCCTGCTGTGGTTTGTGTTTGGCTGTAAATGTAAGTTTGAAGCAATTTTCTGTGTGCTGCATCACCCAGAAGCTCTGTGTTTAGCTGGGGTATTGCCTGCTGGTACCTGAGAAAAGCACCATCCTCCGCTCTTTTGATGCCCTAATGCACTTGATGAGTTAAAACTACTTCTTGAATTTCCAAGTCATTGAACTAAATTGGATATTTACAATATAATTGTGGTGTCCCTGGTTCCTTTATGTTCTATCTTATCAGCAGAGATTGTGAATTATGTTGATGGTAGAAATTTGCATCCTTTTTTCCTTGCAGGGCTCCTTAGTGAAACAGTTAGGAATGATCAGAAGTAGTGCTGTGTCTTAAAAAACAATGTAGTTTTTTGGGAGTTTTTGTATGTAGGAGCATTTCTGTCCCTTCAAACATATGAAACAAATTTAAGAGTTTTCTTTAGTATTTGCTTGCCAAGAGATCCCCAAACAATTTCATGTTAGGTGAAGAAAGAGTCTTTCTTTTCTGGAGTGGACAAGAGCAGCTGAATCAAGCAAAATTATTATTCTGTATTTCATTTACTTGAGTAGAGTATGTTAGTAGGGGATCTGTGCCTGACATTCAGATATTAAAGTGTGATACATATAAGATGGTGTATTAAAGGCTATTGGGAGACAGACCACTAATGCTTTTTCTTTTTTCTTTTTTTAGAAATCAAGTGCTTGAAATGTTTGATCATGCATATAGCAATTATATGGTAAGTCA